ATCTAAATATTAAGACAGAAACACTAAATCTGCTTGAAGAGAGAATAGGTAGAATGCTTGAACACATAGGAGTAGGCAAAGACTTCATGAACAAAACCCAGACCACATGGGAAACACTACAAAGAATCAACAACTGGGACCTCACCTTATTAAAAAGCTTTTGCCAGAGAAACCACCAAGAGAAGACAATCCAGAAAGGAAAAAATTTTTTTACCAGCTATTCAGATAAAGGACTATTATCTAGAATATACAAAGAACTCAAAAAAATCAGACCCCTCCAAAATTTAAAGACCCAATGGAAAAACGAAATAAAATAAAATAAAAGACACTTCTGAAATAAAGACACTTCTCTGATGAAGAATTAGAAATGGCAAATAAATATATGAAAAAATGTTCAATATCACTGGCCATTAGTGAAATACAAATTAAAATGCTGAGATTCCATCTCATTCCTGAAAGAATGGCTGCTATCAAGAAATCAACCAATAACAAATGCTGGAGCGGCTGTGAGCAAAAGGAACACTTCTCCATTGTTGGTGGGAGTGTACTCTGGTCCGACCACTGTGGAAATTGGTGTGGAGATTTCTCAGAAAACTAAAACTAGAGGTTCCATTTGACCCAGGTATACCTCTTCTTGGTATCTTCCCTAAAGAATTAAAAGCATCATACCTCAGTGATATATGCACACCCATATTTATAGCAGCACAGTTTGTAATAGCTAAATCTTGGAAACAGCCCAAATGCCCATCAACAGACAAGTGGATAAAGATGTGGTTTTTTTGTTTTTGGGGGTTTTTTTTGGTATCAGGGATTGAACTCGGATCCTTGCACTTGCAAGGCAGGCGCCAGAACCACTGAGCTAAATCCTGGCCAAGATGTGGTTTTTTAATACAATGGAGTACTACTCTGCCAAAAAGAATGAGCTTCAGACATTTCTAGCTAAATGGATAGACCTTGAGACCATACTCTTAAGTGAAATAAATTGGACACACATGTTTAAATACCACATTGTTACTCTGGTGTGAGAAACCGAAAGTGGAAATAAGGACTAAAATGCTGGGCCAGGGATTTAGCTCAGTGGTTTCGCCGCCTGCTGCACAAGCACAAGGACCGGAGTTCGATCCCCAGTTCCAAAAAAAAAAAAAATGTTTAAATCCAGGACTAAAATGTATAATGGTTATTGGGAAATGGGAAGAAAGTGTTCAAGGGAGAAGGAAGAAAGGAAGGGAGGGACAAGAAAAAAATGGAACAAAGCTTTTGTACACAGGGTGGGGAGGGGGTTGGAAGGGGGGTGGGATAAAAAAAAATAAAATTTATTTTAAAAAAATAATTTACAAGCCATTCTCAACAGTTAATCCAAAACTGGTAGCCGTCACTTAACAAGTCATGACAGCTTAATTCAGTCTAAATATACTACCAACCACACTGCAACTCTGAAAGCCAAATTACTACAGTATAATAAAAATAGGAATAGCCAGCTGTGCATGGTGACTCACACCTGTGATCCCAGTATTCTGGGAAGCTGAGACAGGAGAATCACTAGTTGGAGCCAGCCTGGGCAACTTAGACCCTGTCTCTCAAAAAAATCAAATTAAATGGCTGGGTGTATAGCTCAGTGCAAAGGCCTTGTGTTCAATCCTCAATACCACACACACAGAGAAGTAAAAGTAAAGAACAGCCAGAGGTCTAGGTACAAAACCAGAGATTTGTCCCAGTACTCAAAATGTTTAATCTTCTAGCTTTATGTCTACAGGTACCCCTAGGTTAATACTGTATAATGTGGATGTAGTTACCTAAGGAATTTTACAACTTTTAAATAGACACTAATGAGATGCCTATTTCCCTGTTGGTAAAGGGGACATAATTACAAGATATGATCAAAATACACAGTGAATGTTTAAATTTTTAAAAAACTTAATACAGTAAAAGACACATTGCCATTAATCCCCTTAAAATATTCCCCCTTGTTTCAAACATACTTATGTGTTGTTGTTCCACTTTTGAAGCAATTCTGGAGTCCCTGTTCCTGAGTGTCTTTAAGAGGTGTGATAAAAAAAATACAGTGAATGTTGTTCCGAGTGCCATCCAGGGCAAAGGCAGGCTGGTAAACACATCCTGGTGCATTCTCAACCACCTTATTCACTGAATCTGGCTCTTTCCCAAAGTCAAAATAGCCATAAAAGGTAAATGTTTTCAGTCTACTCAAGACATTGAAGCAGCTACAACAGCCCAACTAAAGATACTCACAATAGAGGACTTCCAATACTGCTTCAGAAAGTGGCAAGAATGATTGGGTAAGTGTGTTGGGGGGGGGGGGATTAAAAGCAATGTGTCTTTTACTGTCAATAAATTCAATTTAAACATTCACTGTATTTTTTTTTTATCAAACCTCATATACTATCTACTTTATCAGGTTTTTTTTTTTTTTTTTCTGGTATTGGGCATCGAACTCAGGACCTTGTGCTTGCCAGGCAGGCATGGTGCCACTGAGCTAAATTCCCGGCCCTATCAGGCTGTTATGGAATTGAGTTAAAATAGGTAAAATGCTTAAACAGGTCATGCCATAGACACATTTAAGTATTAAACATTATTTTTAAGAATGTATAGGCAGGGCCGGGGATTTAGTTCAGTGGTTCCGCCACCTGCTGCGCAAGCGCAAGGTATCTACTTTAATCCCTGGTACCAAAAAAAAAAAAAAAAAAGAATGTATAGGCAAATAGCGGCATATTTTGGGTAGCTATATAAAAGTACATACACAGTCAAATAAACATGACAGAGGCCCCGAGTTCCTATTTCTGTTCTTTTGTTTTTGTTTTTCAGTTCTTTCTTTTTTTTTCCTGTACCAGAGATCGAACTCAGGGACCTTGCGCTTGCAAGGCAGGTGCGCTAAATCCTCGGTCCTTATTTCTGATCTTTAAACGTTTCATTTGGACTTTGATATCGTGCTTTCCTTAAGCCATAGAGCTAAAATAAATAAATAGGAAAGCAACGTGGAAATGGATCAACATTATATAAAAGTATTATTTTTATGTAAAAAAATAAGTAGCTGTTTTTGTTTAGTTGAGTAGCAAAAGCAACTTGCATCCGTCTTCCAATTTCGTGGAAATTTGGTGAAAGAGGTACTTTTTAAGGAAATATTCTAATAAAAAGCAGAATAGGGAAAGCACATGCCTTGAAATTAGGTAGCTCTAATTCAAAAGACCTTAGGAGACATTGTTTGAATGCCTAAAATAAAACTTAAGTATTGCGAATTACATCTTTAAAGTTTTATGTTCTTCGTATAAGGTAGGCACACTAACCCTTTGAGGGTACTAGTAATTTAATAAAGGCACTGGCAGAGATTTGATAATCCTTCATTCAAAACAGCACATGCACACACCACTAAGCCCCTAAGTCGCTTTTTCAAATGTAAATAACTTATTCTTTAGAAGCTGAAGAAGAGTGGTGGTGTACGAAATGAGATTTGTCTTGTATAATCAGCTGTGTACCCACATTTTTTAATTGGCCTTAGGTCTATTTTTAGATAAGAGAATCACCACCGTCCATTGAAAATTTCAAAATCATCAAAGATTGTGCCTGCAGTTCTTGATACTTATTAGGAAGAAATGTTCGAACAAATGACGGTTTTTATGAGTAAAAGTTGCAACATCACATGCGAGACAGACAGGTGTTAGAGGCAGAACTGTCCTCGCTGCTGCCAAAATGTGCAAACAAAAAGAAAAATCAACCCTTCCTATTCATCCAGCCAAAGGCCGCCCGCGCAAAGCCTCAGAAGCGTGGTTTGGGTCCGCGGCAGCGCGTCTTCAAAGATGCCGGCTTTCCGAGTGTGCCCAAAAATGAAGGTCAAGGCGCCCTTCCGCGACACTTCCGGAAAATCTCCAACGATTCTATCTTTGCCCGAGGTAGAGCAGCCTCCTCGTGGGTGTATCACCCAGGGAAGGGGAAGGTGGCAGCCTAGGGACGCTGCTCCGGACCGGTCCTCGGGGGTCACACCAGCCCCGCCACTGCCGGCTCGCACGTAGGGCCCGCGGCGGGTTCGGCCCCTCAGCCGCCAGCTCTGATTGGTCAAGGGCCGCAGGAGCAGGAGCCGGAGCCGGAGCCCAAGCCGAGGCCGGAGCTGCACCAGAGCAGTAGGCGACAGGGCCAAACCGAGAGGGTGCAGGGCGAGGTTGCGACCACGGGGGCAAGGACCCGAGCGGCAAGTAAGCGTGTTGGCTCCATGCAGGCAGCGGGCCACCACCCAGCGTCCGGGCTGCGCAACCCCACGTGGGCCCTGGCTTGCTGCAGGCGCTGTCACCCTCCTCCCCACGTCAGGCAGCGCTCACCTCAGCGCTAGCGGCGCCTCCACCTTCAGCTTTTTGCGCTTCGGCTCCCCTTCGGCGGCTGACATCTTCGCGCTACCGTCCAACTTTTGCGCCACCGCTCGCCGCGCTCCCCGCCCCTCGGCTCGCTGGGTCCGTCCCCCTCACCCCTCACCACCTCCTTTCCCTTAAGCCCCGCCCCTCCCGACTCCGCCCTTGCCATGACTCTGGTCCGAAACCTTAGGTTCCACTCCCTCGCAGTTTATGCCCCGCCCTTTCGTGATCCCATTTACCCTACGGAAAGGGACCCCAGACGGAATTAGGCTGCTGAGGAGCGCCTGAATCCACGTAACGCGAAACTCCCCATTCTTCTAGATTCTAGGTGATCAAGACGATTTAAATCCTCCACTTCGGGAGAAGCTTTCGTCTCATTCAACGTCTTTCTGCTCATCTAATCTTCCTAACACCGCGAACCGCGCTGGTATCCTCGAGGCTGTTAGTCAGGCAACCTATTGGGCACTCCAAGCGCGGGGTCCTCACGGCCTTCTCTGCTTGCTTCAGCTTTGGTCTAGAGAAGACCCGGCGCCGAGTCCCTGACTCGCTGAGCTGTCGGGGTGAGTGTGAGGGGCGGGGAATCAACGGGCTGGGAACAGTTCAAAAGCTGGGGAGTAGGCTGATAGCTGGCGCTCCGGACTCCAGCCTGGGCTGTGGAGCGGCTCTGCTGTCGTGGGCCGGGGTCGGGCCTCCTTCTGCGCCCGGCCTTCCGGGCTTTCTTGCAAACTGGGCCAGAAAGGAGCAGTGCACCTGCACCCAGTGTTCCGAAACCCCTGCCCCAGGAGGTCAAGCTCACCGAAGTTCCTCTGTGTGCTCCGGCGCGGGGAAAAAGGTCTTGTCACCCTTAGTGAGTAGGAGTACTGATGACTTAATTCTCAGCTCTCAGGGCTTCCGCTTTGGAGGACAAAACCCCTGATGGGTCTGAGCTGATGTCCCTTTAGAGGATGGTTCTTGTCTGAGCCTGAAGTGTGGAATACAGTGAGGAGGGTATTACAGTTGTTCAGAAGAAAGGTGACCGAGATCTGAACCGAGGAGGTGGCAGCCATTGAGTATGGACAAGCGTTGAGTAATGTGGCGGATTGTGATGGATTTGTTTGAAGCTGAAGCTTCCAGCATGCATGGTTGAAAAGGTGATTCCACTTTAAAATTAGGAGCTGTCACGGGAACAGCAAGTTTTCGATTTATCGAATTTGAAACGGTGGTTTAGGTGGAGATAGAAAGATTTTTAAAAATAAAAAGTCTGCCAGGTAAGCCAAAAAGAAACTGAAGATAATCTTTATAAAATGTAAATTGGATTGCATGCTGCCCCCTAAATGACTTTAGCAGACCTGTAATCCCAGCTATGTGGGAGGCTGAGGCAGGAGGTTTGTGCGTTTGAGGCCAAACTGGGCAACTCAGCGAGATTCCATCTCAAGATAAAAAGGGCTAGCTAGCATGTAGCTCAGTACTCCTTGAGTCCCATGCCCAGTACAGAGGGAGGAAAAAAAGACTACAATGCACTGAGAACAAAATCCAATCTCTATTAAATAAGTTAGCAACGCCCAATAAAGCAATTTCGGTTTACCTCCTAATTTACTCTCACCACATTCCTCCACCTTCTAAAATTGCTAAATTTATACTAGATTTCTCTGTCTTATCTTCTTTCTCACCTCCAAATCTTACGGATTCCTATAGCACACTGTGTTTGCTCTGTCATAACAGGAATTACATCTTACTGCTTTGTTTCCTCTCCTGAACTCTTTAAGTACTATAAGAATTCTCTTGCATTCATTCTTGGATCCTCAAGTACTCAGTATATAAAACAAACTCAGAACTATTTGTTGAATGAGTAAATGATCAGGATTCTGGTTGAGAATCAGAAACTAGATTCCTTTCTCATTTCCTGATGAAAAATATGGTGAATGTTTAAAAAAATTTTAGATTTGTTACAGTAAAAGGCATTGCCATTAATAACCCCCTCACTTCTTACTCACCTACTTTCCAAATTCTTGCCACTTTCTGAAGCACTTCTGCAAGTTCTCTTTCCTGAGGGTCTTTAGTTCCACTATCATGGCTGCCTTAGTGTCCTGAATTGATTCCAAAGATTGACTTTTTGTGGTCATTTTGACTTTGGGAAGGAGCCAGAAGTCACCTGGTGCCAGATCCAGTGAATAAGGTGGGGATGAGGACACAATTTAATGTCAGGCTTTATGTTGGATGACATTCAGCAGCAACATGCATTGTATTTTATCACACTTGGTAAAGAAATGAAAAGAAAACTTCCAAACTGCTTCAGAAAGTGGCAAGAATGATGGCATAAGTGTGTTTAAAGCAAGGAGGAGTATTTTGAGAGGCATTAATGGCAATGTAGTACTCGCTTCGGCAGCTCATATACTAAAATAATGGCAATGTATCTTTTAGTGGAACAAACTTTTTTTAAAATTCACACTGCATTTGTTGATTAGCTCTCATATACCTCCATTCTGTGCCCTTTAGTCCTTACTACTTGAAGGTTGAGGAAAGAGGATGGCTTGAGCCCAGAAGTTTGAAACAAGCATGGGAAACATAGTAATACCCTGTTGTTGTTTTTTTAAAAAAAGGAACACATTTTCTGTTTAGACATACCTTCCAAGGATATTTTGACTAATGTAATGCATTACTTGTAAAACATCAGGATGAGTCCACAACATTTAATAATGAGGATTCACAAAGTACTTAAGCTGCAGTCAAAGCACTAGTGAGACTGTCTCTAAACACAATTCTTTGTGACTCAAAAGATGCTAGGAACAACCCCCAAAAAAGGTAGGAGTAGCAGTGCATGGCTTTCCCAGAAAGTTTATTAAAATAATGAAAAAAATACAGCTTTTGAAAGCATAATAAATAGCTAAAGAAACAAGGCAGTTTACTTTGTGTGATACTATTTATTATATCTTAGGGGATTGATCATAATTCAGATAAACAAAATAAACTCTTTCCTATGATAGAGGGTTAAGATAGGTTTTAAAACTAAGCACTGTTGAGAGCTGCAAGTGTTATAATTTCATCTAAGCACTAAGGATAACAATAAATCTAGTGGGCTGGTTTAACTTACTGTAGTCTTCTGAAATCTGAACAGTTGCCAATAAAAACAACATTGGTGGAAACTTTCCTGGAGGGAATTTTTCACCAGCTTAGAAGGATGAATAGCGATCTGACCCTAAAATAAGGAAACTACAAAGTCACTTTCAAAAATAAGCAGCCCTCCACCTGCTGTGGTGGCACACGACTGTAATCCCAGCATTCTGGTGCCTTAGGTAGGAGGATCACAAGTTCTAGCCCCAGCCTGAGCAACTTAGCAATTTAGCAAGACCTTGTCTCAGACTAAAAAAGGACTGAGGATGTAGCTCAGTGTGACCACCCTGGATTCAGTCATCAGTACCAGAAAACAAACAAAAACAAACATAAGCTGAAACAGCACATTCGCTGCCCAATGTGGTAACCACTAATATGTGGTTACATATTTAGATTCAAATTACAGTTAAAATTTCAGCCAGGCATGGCAGCACACACTTGTAACCCCAACACTTGGGAGACTGAGGCAGGAGAATCACTGGGCATTCAAGGCCAGCCTGAACTACATAGCAAGAACTACCTCAAAAGACCGAAAAAAAAGTTAAAACTTTAGTACATTAGTTGCATTAGCCACATTGCAAGTGCTCAGTAGCCATGTGTACCTGGTAGCTATCATATTGGACAGCACAGATAAAGGACATTGCCTTCACTGCAGAAAACCCTGTTGGTCTGTGCTTAATTAGAACCTATTCCTAATAATAAGAGATAAGAGCAGGCATTCAGGATTGAAATAGATCTAGGATTGGATCCCAGCTCTGACACTTGTTATGTGATCTTAAGTAATTGACTTAACTCTTTTATTGTCTTATCTGTAATGTGTGTATAAGCAGTATTCATGGTCCAGCCTTGTGAAAACTTAATGAGATAATGTAGATAAAGTGCCTAGCACAGTGTCTGACTCAACATTTTAGATATTATTAATTCATTCATCCTTAATGAATAAAACACTTTGAATATAGCCAAAAGATTAATTTTTGCAAAAGATACTATATTCCTCACCAGAGGTGATCAAAGCCAGGTCCATGTTTTATATTTCAGACGCACATTGTATTCCAAGAAAAAGGGGTAATAATAAAAATTTAGTTACAGATCTTACCTTTGGATAGTCCTATTTCATTAAGAAAGTGAAAATTTTATCAGCTGAAGTTACAAAGTCAACAGGTTCTGTATAGCAAGTCTATGTATTCCAATGTTACCATAGTAATACTCAAATAGAAATGTAAGGCTGACACAAAACAAACCTACTAAGCAACGCATCTGACTAGATGAAGTAGAAAAATTAGGCAGGTCCCAAGTCTGAAGTGTCAGATTTATTGCTGCCAACTCAAGTTGATTGTTTGGCTTATAGAGATGGCTTAAACAGAAAAACATTTTTGTTTTTAATAAACAACCCTAATAACACTGATAGTTTATTAACACACTGATTATTCAAACATATTTTAGTATTATTTACTTAGTAACTACTGAACATTTAACAAATGAGAAAGGGAAACCATCACCAGGTATTTTTAATTGACATCTGTTTTCATAAAATAAATGACTTCCTTGGAAAAGAATTGTCAGGTTGATGTCTTTGTTACTATCTTAATAGAATTGAGTGGATCAACTTTGGAAATTCTTCCTGTTTGGAATTTATCTTCATCATAGAAACTGTATTCATGGGTTTTAAATTCTTTCTCCTTTGTCTGCATTTATCATACATACTATTACTTTGAATGATCAGACCACTAAACCAAACATCTGTCCATATAAAAGATGAAACAAGTTACGGCAATTAAACATTTTTCCACTGCCCCCATATTACCTAGATAATCAACGTTTTATTTGAAGCATAACTAACTCTTAGAAAACATGACAAATCATAATAAAAAGCCCAATGAATTACCACAAAATGGACACAGCTTGTAAACATCATAGAGATGAGTACTAAGAATTACCAGTACTTTAGAAGACCATGTTCCTCTGTTACCATCCTTACTCTTGTTTTTCTTTGTGGTTCTATGAATTGAACCCAGGGCCTTCACATGGAGCTACATCCCATCCTCTTTTTTTTTTAACTTTTTATTTTGAGATAGGATTTTACTAAGTCATAAAAGAAGCCATGTGATTTTTTTTTTTAATCTCATAAATTGGTTTTGCCTGACCTAGGATATTATATAAATGGAATTATAGTGTAGATACTGTTCTGCATTTGCCTTTGTTTCTTCAGCACTGTATTTGTAATATTCTTCTGTGTTTGTTTCATGTGGCAATGTTTATTTTAATAGCTGTATAGTATTTCATTTATGCTATAGTTTATTTTTTCATTATACAATTAATATTTGAGTTGTTGCACATTTTCACTATTATAGATATATTTTGCTGCACGGTAGTACACATTTCTGTTGAGTCTATGTGGGAATGGATTTGTGCCACAGATGTTAAGAATACTTTTTTAAATTGAGATATAATTAACATATCATAAACTCATAATTTTAAAGTATACAGTTGAGTAGTTTTTAGCATATTCCCAAAGTTATGCAACCATCATCTCTAATTCTAGAACATTTTTATCACCCCAAAAAGAAATGCCAGATTCGTTGCCAGTAACTCCCCATTCCTCCCCCACTGCTGCCCATGGCAGCCACTAATCTACCTTCTGTTGCTGTAGATTTACCTGTTCTGGGCAGTTCATACAAGATAGGACTTTTTGTGTTTAGATTCTTTCACAGGTTATCCATATTGCAGCCTCTGTAAGTACTTAGTTACTTTTTATGGCTAAATATTATTCCATTGTATGGATAGTCTGCAATTTGTTTTCCATTCGCTAGTTGATGCACATTTTGGTCATTTCCCCTTTTTAGCTGTTAGGAATAATGCCTCTATGAACATTCATGTACAAGTTTAACTTTTTGAAGAACTCAAACTTTTCTGTAGCATCTGTACCATTTTATATTCCTCCTGACAGTGTCTGAGCATTCCAGCTTCTTTCCATTTCATCAACCCTTGTTAATGTCTTCTTTTATTATAACTAGCCTGGTGGGTAAGGAATATTAGATTTTTTTTTTCTGTCTTTCTTTTTTTGGAGACAGACTCTCACTGTGTAGTCCAGGCCAGCCTTGAACTCACTGTGTACCCCAGGCTGGCCTCCAGCTTGCAGTGATCCTCTTGTCTCAGCCTCCTAAGTGCTAGGATTACAGGCTTGTGCCACCACACCCTGCCTCATTTAGATTTTTTATTAACATTTTCCTAGTGACTTTTTGAGAATCTTTTTCCTTAGCCTTTTGTGTGTATATTTTCTTTGGAAAAGTATCTTAGCAGATGCGTATCATTTGCTCAGTGTTTAATAGGGTTGTCTCTATTATGGAATTGTTGGAGTTGTTTATATATTTTAGATAGTAGTCCCTCATAAGATGGTTTCAGGGCCAGGGATTTAGGTCAGTGGTGCCCATAGCTTCCTCCAAAGCACAAGGTCCTGAGTTTGATCCCCGCGGGAGGAGAGGAGACGACATATGGTTTCAAATAATTTTTCTTATACTCTTGGCCGTCTTTTCACATTCTTGATAATTTCCTTTGAAACACAAAAGTTAATTTTGATGAAGCAACTCGGGTTACTCTCTCTCCTTTCTTCCTTCCTTCCTTTCTTTTTCTTTCTGGCTCTGCGGATTGAACCCAGAGCCTTCACACAGAGCTACATCCCTACCCGTTTTTTAAATATTTTGTTTTGAGATAAGCTGAGTGCAACTTGGTATCCTCTTGTCTCAACCTCCCAGAATGCTGGGATTACAGACATGTGTCACACTTACTTTTTTTCTTTTTCTTACTTGTGTTTTGGTGTCATAATTTTAGAAAACATTGTCTAACACAAGGTAATAAAGATCATTTTTTTCCTAAGTTTTATAGGTTTAGCTCTTATATATAGGTCTTTGATATAGTCTGCTTTATTTTTTGTATAGATTATGAGGTGGAGATATGGTTTCTTTCTTTTGGCTGTACAAATCCAGTTGTCTCAGCACTATCTCTTGAAAAGACTATTCTCTCTCCAAGTGAATCCCCTTGACCCCCAGTGGAAAATCATTTGACCATAAATATAAGGGATAATTTTGGAACTCTCAGTTCGGTTCCATTTATCTATAAATCCTTATTCCAGTACCACATGGTAATTAACATTCAGTCTGCAAGTCTTTAAATTTAATTCCTAAGTATTTAAATCATTTTGATGCTATTGTAAATCAAATTGTTCTCTTAGTTGCATTTTGAAATTTGTTTAGGTGTTTAGAAATACAGTTGTTCTTTTTATATTAATCTTGTATCCTATAACTTTGCTAAACTCATTTGTTAGGGGTGGGGATTTAGCTCAGTGGTCCCGGCACCTGCCTTGCAAGCGCAAGGTCCCGAGTTCGATCTCCAGTACCAAAAATATAAATAAATAAAATAAAATAAACTCATTTATTAGCTCTAATAGAGTATTTTGTTTGTGGATTTCTTAGGATTGTCTATATACAAGATTGTATCTTCTGGATACAGAGATAGTTTTCACTTTTTCCTTTCCAGTGGACTCTAATGTTTCATTTTCTTAACTGCCCTGACAAGGACCTCCAGTACCATGGTGAATAAAAATGATGAAGTTTTGTTATGTTTTGGTTTTTTTTGTCTTGTTTTGTTTGTTTTTAATGCAGACTGAGGATTGAACCAAGGGCTTCACACTTAGCTATATCCCCAGTCCATTTTTTATTTTGAGACAGGGTCTCTCTAAGTTGCCTAGGCTGGGCTCAAACTTACAATCTTCCTGCCTCAGATTCCCAGAGTGCCGGGATTACAGGTGTGCTACCATGCCCAGCTTCCTTATTTGTTTTCGTTTTTATAAAGAAAATTTTTGTTCTTTCTCCATTAAAAATTATGTTAGTCTGCATGGTGGCACATGCCTCTAATCCCAGCACTCTAGAGGCTGAGGCAGGAGGATCTCCCTGATTTCGAGGCCAGTCTAGGCTACAAACTGGGTTCAAGGCCAACCTGAACTGTACAGTGAGATTCTGTCTCAAAAAATAAACAAACAAATAAATAAATGATGTTAACTGTGAGATTGTCGTAGATGTTCCTATCAGGTTGAGGAAGTTTTCTTAGCCTGAGCATTTTTTTTCCCATGAAAGAGTGTTGGGCTTTGTTAAATGCTTTTTCTGCAACTTTTTGAAATGATCATTTGTTTTTAGTCTTTTATTAATAAAATTATATATTACATTGATTGAGTTTCCTGTGTTAAAACAACTTTGTATTTTTGGAATAAACCTTTATATGTTGCCAGATTTGTTTTGCTAGTATTTTGTCAAGGATTTTTACATCTATATTCTTGAGTGATACTGGTCTGTAGTTACTTATATTGCCTTTGTCTGGTTTTTGTGTCAGTATAATAGAAGGATACCTTTGATGTATAATAAATTTAACCCTTTTTTTTTTCTTTAACACAGAAAATGATCCACAGTCTATTTCTCATAAACTGTTCCGGTGACATATTTCTAGAGAAGCACTGGAAAAGTGTTGTGAGCCAGTCTGTCTGTGATTATTTCTTTGAAGCTCAAGAGAAAGCTGCTGATGTTGAAAATGTACCACCTGTCATTTCAACACCTCACCACTACCTCATCAGTATCTACCGGGATAAGCTCTTCTTTGTGTCTGTCATACAGACTGAAGTGCCACCTCTCTTTGTAATTGAATTCCTACACCGAGTTGCTGACACTTTTCAGGTTTGTTGTCCATCAAACTTTTCTAACTTACTCAAGGTAGTTGGAGGGAGACACATGATTATATTCTGAACCAGCTATTAATACATTTCTCTCTCTGTCTTTCTCTCTCTCTCTCTAAATAAGCCTAAGTTCATAAACCTTTTTCTGTAGCATACACAATGGCACACAAGACTACTTTGTTCACTATTTTCTTTTTAATGTATTGCAAACTGCATCATCAAGCAACAGTAGGGTCTTCCATATACTATTTTCTAAAGATTTTTATTGATTATGAAGTCGTCTGTGTTTACATTTAATTTTTTCTCTTGTCGTACTGAATATACTGTATATATAGTTTAATCACTTACCAGTCCAGTTATTTAAATACAAAAATGACAAAAAATTGCGTATTTTTTCATTAATTTTATAAGATAATATGACAGGAAATATAAAAACAACAATTTTATTCAAGAATCAACTGGTTGAAATGACACCTGTCCCAGTGATGCTTGGATAGTCAGTACATAAACACACTGCCCAAGTGACTCTGTGGTAAACTTTTAAGTGGTTAAAACTTAACTATTTGTGTTTTGGGATAGGTTAATCAGGGCAAGTATAGTTTATAGCTCACCTTCCAGTTTAATATTTCATTATTCTCTGGCATAATATGTAGTAGGAATTCAATTCAATCTGAAAATATTTTTTTAAAAAGCCAGGTGTGGGCTGGGGATTTAGCTCAGTGGTTCTGCCGTCTGCCTTGAAAGCAGAAGGTCCTGAGTTTGATCCCTGGTACCAACAAAAGCCCAGGTGTGGTGGCACATGCCTATACTCCTAGCACTTAGGCTGAGGCAGGAGGATCACCACAAGTTCGAGGCCAGCCTGGGTTACATAGCAAGTTCAAGGCCAGCCTGAACTACATAGTAAGACCCTGTCTCAAAAAACAAACAAAAAAGAAAATATTGAAGAATAGTGTTAGGACTATACAAGAGTTTTTTTCCTCCTGTTTTACATATTTCTGACATCTTAAGAAATGAGTTACGCTACTGTAATTTTGTTCTTCAGAATGAAAAGTATGTAGTAGACCCTTCTTTATGGCCTCTGTTGTACACTGTTATTAATATTGTGTTAGGACTACTTTGGTGAGTGTTCGGAGGCTGCAATTAAGGACAATGTGGTCATAGTTTATGAGCTCTTGGAAGAAATGTTGGACAATGGATTTCCACTGGCTACTGAATCTAACATTTTAAAAGAATTGATTAAACCCCCAACAATTCTGCGTTCTGTTGTCAACTCTATTACAGGTAAGATGAAAGCATACTTTAGGCTAAGAACCAAACAATTAAAACTTTATATAAACAGTTTATTTTTGCCTATTATGTGACAGATTATTAAGGTGGTTCAGTTTTTCCCAAGTTGAAGTGACAGGTAACATTAGAATGAATGCATATTTCTTTTCATTGAAAGAGCCCAGGTCTTAAATGATAAAGAACTTTTAGTTATTATTTTGTTCATATATTTGTCTGTAAAACCACAATTTTGAGCGCAGCCTAGACAATTTAGTGACTTAGCAAGAAGCAAGACCCTGTGTCAAAAAAAAGGGCTGGGGATATAACTCAGTGCAGGGGCCTTGGGTTTGATTTTTAGTACTACAAAAAGAATAAAATTTATGCCAGTTTATCCTAAAGAAAACCATATATGAGTCGACTTAAAAGATAATTTAAGGGGGCCGGGGATTTAGCTCAGTAGCACCGTGCCTGCCTAAAAAGTGCAAGGTTCTGAGTTTGATCCATGGTACCAAAAAATAAAAATAAAATAAAGATAATTTAAGCCAGGCATGGTAGTATACATCTGTAATCCTAGAACTCTGGGAGGCTGAGGCAGGAGAATCATAAGTGCAGATCCCACCTGGGCAACTTAGAGTACACTCTGTTTCAAAATAAAAAGGGCTAGGGATATAAGTTAATGTGAAGTCTCTGGGTTCTATCCCTGGTACAGAGAGAGAGACCCAAAGATCCTATTTATCATCTGTATTCTTAGAGGAAACTTTTTTGGCACAAAGTTTTCAAACAATAAGATTTTTTTTTTAGCATCAGTGGCAGCAGGATGAGATCCTGCAGTAGTTTAGCCACTGGAATTAGCTTAGGTTACTGCTAACAGGCAGGAAGCAAAAGATAAGTAAAATGCATGCATCTAGTTCAACAGATACACAGAAGACCACATGGCCTGTTTCTGTCTTCTAGAAAACGGATCATGTTGGTATGGATATGTCTGACAATTCTAGAGACTATCCACATCACAACTTTAATAAATACAACTCCAAACATTGAAGAAACAGCTGAATGATTCTCTCTTTTGACAACAGCATTTTTGATAAGTGTTTTACACATTAGCTTTGCTTTCTCCTTTTCCACTTTCTAGGCAGTAGTAATGTAGGGGACACACTCCCCACTGGGCAGCTGTCCAACATCCCATGGCGCCGGGCAGGAGTAAAGTATACAAACAATGAAGCCTATTTTGATGTCATTGAAGAAATAGATGCAATTATAGATAAATCAGGTAATTGTGTGCATGTAGTCTTATGGGGAAAAAACAATTCAGCTGATACAAGCTGAACAGAAAATTGAAATCCCTTGGCAATGTTATTTCAACAGAAAGGCATTCATTTTCTTTTCTTTTTTTTTTTTTAGGCATTCATTTTCTAATGGTCTATAAATCTGTTCATTTTGCTTGGGGGTTAAATATAATTATCTTAACCACAATTGTGATCTGCGAGACATTTGTTAATCAGGACTCGTGATGTCTTTAAGCCATTCATTTCCTGCTATACTTCTTGCTGTTTTACTTATTCTAACATTGCATGCCAACCATATAATATACCTTTGATACTAATTTATGTACAGTACTTTTAGTAAAGACTCCTTTCTGACTATCTTTTAAGCAGACAAAATAATAACACTGTATTAGAACCCTAAGGGAGTGGAGCTGTAGCTCAGTGGTAGAGCACTTGCCTAATACATGCAAGGCCCTGGGTTCAACCCATGGTACTGAAAACCTCATATTTTATACAGAAGGAAACTGAGGCTCACAAGGATTCAGTGACTTATTCATGCAACTAATTGATAATGTGATTGTAACTTGTGAATTATAGTGAATATCCTTCTATTATAACATGCAAAAAATTTAAAACAGAAAGATCCACTGCAAATACTGTAGGTTTTGAGCTGGGGGTGTGGCTCAGTAGCAGGTTGCTTGTCTGGCATGCATGATATCCTGAGTTTGATCCTTAGCACTATTAAAAAATTTTTTTTTTTTTTTTTTTTTGGTACTGGGGATCAAACTCGGGACCTTGCATTTGCGAGGCAGGCACTGGAACCACTAAGCTAAATCCCCAGCCCCCCAAATTTTTTTTTGTTTATAACCTTCCAGCCAGTCATGGACAATGGATTTCCACTAGCTACTGAATTTCCACTGGATTACACCTGTAATCCCAGCACTTGGGAGACTGAGGCAGGAGGATTGCTGCAAGTTCGAGGCCAGCCTGGGCTACATAGAGAGTTTAAGGCCAGTCCGAACTACATACCAAGACCCTGTGTCAAGAACCAAAATTAAGGGCCAGGAATTTGGCTCAGTGGTTCCACCGCCTGCCTTGTAAATAGAAGGTCCAGAGTTCGATCCCCAGTACCAAAAAAAAGAACCAAAATTAAAACAAATGAATAAATCAATTATAATCTTCCATCTCATAGAATAACAGATCATGGCTCCTGTTTAAGAGTTAACAAATAATTTAATCTGTTTCATAAGAAAACTGCAGCAGGCCGGGGATTTGGCTCAGTGGTTACACCGCTTGCCTCACAAGCACAAGGACCCGATTTCAATCCCTGGTACCAAAAAAAAAAAAGAAAACTGCATTTAGGGCCAGGGATTTAGCTCAGTGGTTCCAGCGCCTGCCTCGAAAGCGGAAGGACCTGAGTTTGATCCCCGGTACCAAAAAAAAAAACAAAAAACAACACTGCATTTTAAAATTCTATTATAAATATATTAAACTCACACCTAGTAGTCTTATGAGGTTGATCCTATAAGTTTTGATTTTCCTTAAAAATAGCATGTTCTAGCTAGAGGCTGAGTCAGACAGATTGCAAGTTCAAGCTTAGTTTTTTTGTTTGTTTTGTTTTTTGGTACAGAGATCAAACTCAGGACCTTGCATTTGCAAGGCAGGCACGGTGCTGCTGAGCTAAATCCCCGGCCCTCAAGCCCAGTTTTATTTTGCAATCCTGTCTCAAAATAAAAAAGGCTGAGGCTGCCTTGGTTCAATTTCTGATACCAAACAGGTGCACACATAAACACACACTCATATTCCAGCCATTTAGGTACAGGCATTAGCACTCAGAATGCTGTCTGAACTGATGTAATGGAGCCTCTGTTCACTAACCTGTTTATAGAGGTGCAAAGCTTTGATAAGTCTGACATCTAAGAAGTATCTCCATTACTCCAGATGCAAAGACCCAGATTCCATTGAAGTTCACCCCTTTTCTTTTCTTTCTTCAGGATCTACAGTCTTTGCAGAAATTCAGGGGGTCATTGATGCTTGTATTAAGCTATCTGGAATGCCTGATCTCTCTCTTTCCTTCATGGTAAGTTTTGTTCTCCTATTGTATCATCTCTTGAGTGCCGAATACATATGAGGTACTAAATGATAAAAATGATAATGAGCTTTTCTTCCTATTTCACAGTATTATACTTTTTTTTTTTTGGTACCGGGGATCGAACTCGGGTCCTTGCCCTTGTGCAGCAGGCGGCTAAACCACTGAGCTAAATCCCCAGCCCCAGTATTATACATTTTGATCCTTATTTATACTTTCAGTTTCTCACACCAGAGAAACTATTCGGTGTTTACACATGTGAGTGTCCTATTTATTTCACTTAAAGAGTATAGCCTCAAAGTGCATCCATTAAGCTATAAATGTCTCTAGTTTCTCACTCTTTATGGCTGAGTAGTGCTCCCATTTTAGAAAAACAATAAAATACATTTTCTTTATCCAGTCTCCAGTTGATGGGCAAAGAGGGAAGCGGAGGTGGGACAGGTAGGGGAAAGGAAAGAAGGGAAAGGAATAAATATGAGAAAAGGAAAAAATGGAAACAGAGTCTTTCTAAATAGGGAGGGATGGAGGGGTTGAAGGGAGGGCAGGGAAATGGGGAAAAAAACAAGAACAAAGATATATCATTTAAAGGTACAAATTCCCAATGATGAAATGTCATCATATTGTATACCTAAAGTGTACCAATAAAATTAATGAATAAAAATATGATAACGAGGTAAATTTGTGTCTTAGATTGCAAAGGATTATCTCAGAAATATTCTTAGCTGCCCAGGGATTTAGCTCAGTGTTTCTGCCGTGTGCTGCACAAGTGCAAGGTCCTGAGTTTGATCCCCAATACCAAAAAAAAAAGAAAAGAAAAATATTCTCAGCACCCCTTTACAAGATAATAGTTAATGTGTTGAGCATAATCTTTATGGAAAGGCTGAAGAGAGGTCTTTAATTTTGCTAGAAGTGGGTTATAATTGGCTGGTTGGCTGGCTCTGGCTAATCTCCAGTGTCATTTTTACTGCAAAGGTGTTGGACTTGTGTGTTGTTAAAGACTCAGTAAGCCACACTGCTAAGAACAATTAAGAGAAGTGAGTTCTGGTTCTGTCTCTGTCACCAGTTTCTCCTGACTTTAGGATCTTTAAACCTGTTTTGTCACCTGTGGAATGGAAATGCTACCACTTGGCTTTTCTCCTTCATAGTTATGAAATTTCAAATAAAGTTATATATATAAAATATTCACAAACTGTAAAGCATACTGAAACTGTAATAAACTCATACACAACTGACTACTTTTGCTTTAAGGACCATATTAATTTCTCATATCTGAGTATCATGGTCATACTCATTATACTCTGAAAATAGCTGTCTTCCATTTTTCTGGCAGAACCCAAGGCTTCTGGATGATGTCAGCTTCCACCCTTGTATCCGGTTCAAACGTTGGGAATCTGAAAGAGTTTTATCATTTATTCCTCCAGATGGAAATTTCCGACTCATTTCATACCGAGTCAGCTCACAAAAGTATGTTGAAACATCTACTAGAACCTGTCATCACTTATCAATGTGCTGAACAGAATTCACCTTTCTCTTTTGCTCTCTGACAGTTTGGTACTTGAGTTCATCCTTGCTTAGTTTAACCATGGCTGAAGACCAAGTGAGATATGGAGAAAATTTGTGTCTAAAATAATCATTGTACCTTGACTCTAAGAGAAGTAATAAGTTAGATGATAATACAATCTATCACCTGGAACAAGCATTATAACCTGGGCAGAACTGCATTGGCACCATAATTTTACCATGATGCAGACTTTGTGCCTAACAGAATGAGACAGAATTACCCCAAGACACTCTAACCCACTCTTACTACTCTCTTCTGCATAGCGTTTTAAAGGAACAATTTAGCATTGTAGGTTGTAGCTAATTTGTCCCTTGAAAGTATCAGAAAGTACAATGGTAGAGTACTTGCCTAGCATGTGCTTACCAAGCACAACCCCCCCCCAAAAAATCAGAAAGTATTTGGGTAGCATAATAAAACAAGACTCAGCTGCTGGGCGTAGTACACACCTATAATCCAAGCACTCTGGGAGGCTAATGCAGGAGGATCACAAGTTTGAGCCCACCTGGGCAATTTAAGGAGACCCTGTCTCAAAATAACAAAAGGCATTGGGGGTGTAGCTCAGTGTGAAGACCCCAGAATCACCAGTTCACTCCCCAGAATCACCAAAAAAAGACAAAAGAAATTATTTCTTGGCTCTTATCACATTTTTTTTTAGGCAGGGTCTCACTATGTCATCCAGGCTGGCCTTGAACTCACTATGTAGCCCAGGCTGGCCTCAACTCACAGTGGTCCTCCTGCCTCAGCATCCCAGGTGCTGGGATTACAGGCATGCACCACCATGCCTGGCTACATAGGAACTATTTTAGCATATATAATTTTAAATTAGTTTTCAGTGAGATCTTACTCATTTTTTAAACTAGAGCCATTTTCCCCAGTTGTTTATACTACAATTAATCTTAAAGATTTCTGAGGGGCCAGGGATTTAGCTCAGTGGTTCCACCGCCTGCCTCGCAAGCACAAGGTCCTGAGTTCAATCCCCAGTACCAAAAAAAAAAAGAATAAAACACTGCTGTTAAAAAAAAAAAAAAAGATTTCTGTCTTGGTTCATATACTTGCCGCTAAGGATTCATATAGTTCTAGCATATTGTTGTTACAGAACCTTGTGCTGTACCCCCAGCTTTCCCTCAGGTGCAGATGCTGAGTCTGCAGGTCTAAGGCAGAATGCCCTGCTGTGGAGTTGGAGCCAGGGTCAGATAACCTGGGCTGAGCTTTTGAGGCCACCTCTGGAGCTGTCCCACACCAATTAATTGTGTGTCTGTGTGCTTTTGCATCTTTCTGTCTTTTTAGTCTAGTGGCAATACCAGTGTATGTGAAACACAGTATCAGCTTTAAGGAGAACAGTTCTTGTGGAAGATTTGATATAACAATTGGACCAAAGCAGAATATGGGAAAAACTATTGAAGGAATCACAGTGACAGTTCACATGCCAAAAGTTGTGCTGAACATGAGCCTGACACCAGCACAAGGCAGCTATACATTTGATCCAGTCACCAAGGTACAGCCACTTCAAATCAAGAGTGAGCAAGTGTTTCTGCAATCTATTGTAACTGGGGGTGGGGGAAGGGTTGGTGTCCTGTTTAAGAGTAAAGTTCCAGTCAGCACTAGAGAGCACACTGTCCTTTCACTACCAGCTTTGGAAGGAATCCTGTATCTACTACTAAGTAGATAAACAGTGCAGGGCTGGAGGTTTAACTCCTTGGTGCCAGCACCTACCTGGTATATGCAAGGTCCTGAGTTCAATCCCTGGTTCCGCCAAAAAAAACAGTATTATTTTGCCAGGGATTTAGCTCAGTGGTGCCACAGCCTGCCTTGCAAGTGCCAGGTCCTGAGTTCAGTCCGCCGTACCAAAAAAAAAAATGGATTTTCACAGTGCATAGTACTCATCCATTGATTATCCAGAGGCTTACTGCACTAATGAAAAAAGAAGTAAAATCTTTTTAAAGAGGAAAAAAATACTATGTGGATATAATATGGTAGTTAGTTCAGTTTTCCTATAGAAATTAATCATTAAGACTTGTTTATTTTTAACTTTAAAAAGCATTATTATTTCATACCTTTCCACAGGGGATATTAGCTAGAAAAGCTGCTTCCTCACCCTACTTACACATGCCTCTGGCAGAGAGTTTTCATAGAACTCTAAAAGATGATTTTCTCTCAGCTTCTTGCTTGAATAGAAAATATGATTGTTTTCAACAGCAGAATCATTGAGCTGCCTGATAAATAAAAAGGTATTTTTTAAAATAAAGTCATAGAATGTTAAAGATCATCCAAGCTGGTTCCTAAGGATTCAGAGACCACATTAGACTGAGCAAGGGGAGTTCTAGATCCCTGGGACCTCTATCGTAGCCTCAATTATATTAGCTTCACTTTCCTCATCTATTGAGCATCCACCAAAAAAAAAAAAAACAACAACTTCCTTTTGAACAAAGGATTCCATAGCTAAAAGTTCTAAAATACCAACATAAAAGCCTGCTAGTGCACACCTGTAATCCCAGGACTTGGGAGCTGAGGCAGGATTGTAAGGTAAAGGCCAGCACGGGCTATACAATAAGTTTGTGGCCAGCCTGGACTGGATAGTGAGATCAAAAAAAAAAAGCTGGGTACAGTGGCACACACCTCCAATCATAGCATTCTGGGAGGCTGAGACAGGAGGATTGCAAAATCTAGCCCAGCCTGGTCAATTTAGCAACTTAGCGAGACTGTCTCAAAAAGTAAAAGAAGGCTGTGAATGTAGCTCAGTGAGGTGTGTGAGGTATGGGCTTATATTCCCATTCTGCAGAAAACAGGAGTAGAGAGAAGTCATAAAGGTAGGATAATGGAAAGAGTATTTTCAATTTGCAGTCATACAGCCTTAGGTTCAAATCCTAACCTTTCCTCTAACTAGCTGTGTGACCTTGAGCAAGTAATGTGATCTCTCTGAGCCTTAATTTCCTCATGTGTGAACAGAAGACAAAATATACTTCACAGGCTTATGAGATAACATGAATAGCTAAGCTTAGTGTTCTATTCAAAAGTAAACGCTTGACACATTCTCCACGCTTACTCCCCACTGAGAGTCACAGTGCTAATTAATAGTAAAATCCTTACAGATGCCAGATCTCTTGTTTGCAAGACACTGCTTCATTTTGTGTGGCAGTTTGTTGTCTTTGAACCTTATCTTTGAGTATTGGTCTTGAACAAATGGTTCAGATTGGTTTTGATTTCATGTGTTTTAAAGGTATTAACATGGGACGTGGGGAAAATTACTCCACAAAAGCTTCCGAGTCTTAAAGGACTGGTAAATTTACAGTCTGGAGCACCCAAACCAGAAGAGAATCCAAGCCTCAACATACAGTTTAAGATCCAGCAGCTTGCTATTTCAGGTAAGGATAAGTTTGGGTTGTGTCTAAGGGTAACTGAGTTTTGCTGGGCTCAATTATTATGAGAAGAGTAACAGCCATTTCTATTCTAGAAAGAGTAGCAGATCCAGTTCACCTTTGACATCATGGGGCCAGAGGACTTTGAGGGAACCTTATTTCACACAGCATCCCTTATTCTCCACCTTCGTTTAAACACCAAAAAGGAGTCATCCCTATTCACAGAAAGTAGAATTAGCCTTAACAAACATGCTCTGGCCACATGGGCATCGTTAAGTAAAATCACACCCAACAGTGTAATAATTCATGAATGGCAGAAGGACCTCTGGGCTAGTGTCAGATTTACAACAAAATATTGTATTATCATTGAGATAATAATTTGTTTCATTCTTTTTTTGACATAGGGTTGAAAGTAAACCGTTTGGACATGTATGGGGAGAAATACAAGCCATTTAAAGGAGTCAAATATGTCACAAAAGCTGGAAAGTTCCAAGTGAGGACATGAGAAGAGGCCAAAATTCCTCAAGATCAGTTTGTTTTCCAAGTGTCATTACAGTTTATTACTATTAGGTACCAAGTGGGTGGGAATACATATTCTCCGTAAAGCATTTGTGTCTAGCTACACATCACTAACAGAGGTTGCTTAGTAATCGATGTAGGGTTCTTAAGGAACTTTAAGCTAAGGAAACCTTTCTAATGACTTAGCTTATTTTTTATCTTTTCACTTAGGAAGATTTTAGAGGTGATTTCTTTCAAAGGGGAGGTACCAGCTGGATGCTGCACACTGTAAAGGCTGAACGCTACAATGGTAACTCTCTCCTAAAGAAAGTGAACTGGGCTCATCCAGTGAGAACAGTCTTAATCTGTGACGTGTCAGGTGCAGCCAGATATCATACCTTCTGATCTTAGCCATCCCAAACAGTATCTGTCCTAACAGGAAATAACCCCACCCCAAGACGTTTACAGAAAACTGCCTCTTCAAGTGTTTGCCTTATTCAGCTTTTCACTTGTGCCATTAAGCAAGCACTGTAGCAAAAGCCACTTCCATATGGTCCTGGCAGGGAGCACTGCTGCTCCATGCTCCATTCTCACTGTACTTGGTATTGTATTTTTTATAAATAAGATTTTATGTAAAGGCTCAGATTTTGATTTACAAGTAACTTGCTGCAGTAAATACCATCTCAAGTTCGTGCCACCAGTTCAGCTGTTAGCACAGTAAAAATCATTTGTATCAAAGGGGCAAATGCTTTATAAAGGTAATAAAAGGGAACACTGCTTCTGCTTTTAGGAAGTTATTGCAAGCACAAGCCTTGTGCTTTTAAGAAAATTAAAGTAGTAAAAGAGAAACTTTTGCCACCTTCATGTTTTATAATGCTTTATCCAGCATCATCAGTTAACCTAAATGCCTCATGCCCTGCTTCAGAAAAAGGAGGAAATTGTATCTGCCTCACTGTCATCAGTCCTTCCTTTTTTTTAACTTTTTATCTTTTTTATTATTGTTCTTAAAAGATTGAATTTGCCTGCATCTTTTTCTTTAGGAGGAACTCTGTTTCATATTGTGTGTGCATATCAAAGCTGTAGTCTTAGATTTCTTTCTGAAATTTGTCAAAACTAACTGCAGTGCTTAGATGTCTCCACCATACTGACAGGGTACATGGAAAAACATTAGGTTGAGGCAGAAACAGAATTCACAGTAACATTTATGATACCATATTGATCATCATGGTTATAAAGTAAACCTATAGTAGAATCACTTCAGTTTATTGGCTTGGTAGTCCTTACCCAGATATGTTGCCTCATTAGGCATGAAGAAATAGACGAAGGCTGAAGGTTACAATTTATTAGGTGCTTATGGATCCTATTTCTTCTTGCTCTTAAGCTATTTATTACTTTTCATCTAATTGTGGCTCCATTCTTTCTTCTCTCATTCTTCTTAGCTTATAACTTTTTTTCCCTTTACCATACTAAAGGTTCCTCTTCTACTCATCCCAGTTACTAGTGGTGTGTGCATCCATTTTAGGATAGCATTCTTACCTTTGCTTGCCTTGAGTATTCAGTCTACCTTTCATCTGGTAAAAACAGCTACTTTGCCTAGCCCGGTGGCACGTGGGTATAATCCCAACACTTGGGAGGCTAAGTCAGGAAGATTGCCAAGTTTGAGGCCATCCTGTCTCATAAAAACAAAACAAAAACAAAAGGCTACTTTTGCAATTTATTAATTTCTACAGTAACCAGTCTCAGATTGGTAGCTAAAGTTTAAATGTTGCCAAATATTTATTCCCTTTAGCTAAGATTGGTTATCCAGTTCAATTGCATTTCCTATTTTAATATCCTACTCATTAGAATTCTTGCCTCAAAACATTTGCTTTTCAGTTGGGTGTGTTGGCGCACACCTGTAATCCCAGCATTTGGGAGGTTGAGGCAGGGGGATCAAACTGTAAATTCAAGGCCAGTTTACACTACATAGTGAGTTCTAGGCCAACCTAAATTATATCGTGAGACCCTGTCTCAAAAATGGTTTTCTTTCTGCAAAATCTCTAATCTCAGCCATCTGTACCTGCACTCTCCAATTTTCTTCCTGTGGTGTCTTTTCTTATATCCAAGTAGAATGCATGCCAAAGAGCTGTTTGCCTCTAGCAATTTCTGCTAAAAAATCCAAGTAGTCTGTTTCCTTTGACAAATTATTATATTAATTTGATAGAATCTAATAAATCCTCTCTCTGGCTTTGGCTATACTGTCAATAAAAAGATGAAAGCAACAAGTTGACTTTTTTTTTTTTTTTTAGCTTAACTGTTGATTGGAATATTCTCAGATGGGCAAGTCTTAATACCAGAGAAAGTGGGACATGATAATTTTCTTCTGTATTGTCACACAAGGTGTGAATGTTGGTACAAAGCACTTCCAAGTCCTCCTCTCCTAAATGTCATGTGTTCACCTCCATTTAGACTTTTAAGCATGACCCTTCTAGCCACAGAGTAAGAGATAAGTGATGAAAGCTACCTTCCTTAATCACTACCAGGATACCTCTGCAAATACTTAGTAGTATTAGAGTATTTTTTTAGTATTAGAGTATCTTTTTTTTTGGTATCGGGGATCGAACTTGGGTCTTTGTGCTTGCAAGGCAGGCGGCGGAACCACTGAGCTAAATCCCCAGCCCTTTTAGAGTATTTTTCAAGCACTGAGTTCCAGCTAATCCCAGAATAGTTTTTTCTAAATTCTTAAGGGAGTATATTCTAAGAACAAATAAAATAGATGCTTATTTTCCCTATGAAGAAATTCCCATTTTATTCATGTGATATTCAAAGCATTCATGTGATATGTTCATTTCTTTAATGGTGCTACAGAAGAATGCTTGGAATATGTTGGTCTCACTGTCCCTCAAGGCAACTGATTTGTCAAAATAACAACTATAATGCAGTAGGAAGGCAGCACCAGTGAACATATAGTAACAAAACTGAGGCAGTGTTAGAGATTGCTCAGCTTATTCAGCAGCCTTGAACATTTCCTTTGAATCCACGCAGGCTGGAATCTGCCTCTATTGGAAACTTCTAGGTTAAAGCAGTCAGTGATAAATGCAGTCAGCAACACGATATACCACCCTTTAATGATACTTAACTCTTTCAGATCTTGAAGATCAGGCAAGATAGTTGAAGCCTACCTGTATCCAAGACTATTCTATCCAGATCTATCTTGCTTTGTGCTCGCTTTGGCAGCACATACACAGATCTTGCTTCTGTTTTAGGGCTTCCTCAAGCAAGAGTATGTCCTCAGAAGCTAGCTCTCTGCCTCAAGTCTTGGTGGATCTCAGACAGCCTACTATTCTCTACTAGGTTTTCCAATATGGAAAAAAAAAAAGGGACCTGTGCTACTCCTGTGTATTTAACAACTTAAGGTTTTTAGGGGACAGTGATGGTCACCACAAATAGCTAGAATCTTCTGAGACAAAAGACTGTTTCATCCAGGGGTGATTCATATCATCTGGCTGCTTTCTGCCTGCTGTTAGCCTTTGCCACTTCCAATCCTTCTAGTGTATAATCCCCAAAGTTGTCCTTTATCACACAGATCCTTGTTAGGTAAACAAACTTTACATACTGTTGATTTCTACTTCTAAAACCCTGACATAAAAGTTTGTTTCTAAAATAATATACTCATCATTTAGAGCATTATTTATACAAATGCATTTTATTGTTTTAAACAGAACAAAAGAGGCAGAAAACATTTGCGTATAACAAATCCTAGCTTATAAATTTTAGTTTTAGTGGTAAAATCTTGAATCATTCAGGGATTTTTTTTTTTAATTTTTACTTTA